AAAAGTTGATGACTTGTTTTCTCTCTCTTCCACTTGGGGGAGGAGGTAGGTAGGAAGGGGAGTTGGTAGAAGGAATAAGGGAAGGAAGGAGAAATTCAATACATTCCCAAAGATGAGTATATTACTCAGTAAATTGCATTGTTTGGTCACATGCAACAACCCTGCCATTGTGGGCAATAGCTGCCAAGTTAGCCAGCTTTCAGGAAAAGTTGAAAAAGCAGCTTCTCAAAGTTATCTTTCTTCATGCCTCACAGGATTATGCTACCATTAATAGCCATGCTGCAAGTTACTAAGTGAATTAAATCAAGTTAATTATTGCTTGTGCTATTTAAACAAAACATTGGAAGCTCTGTGCACAAAAAAAGATTAAAAACAAAACACAATCTTTGAGACAAAAAAATAAGTTACAAATTAAAGGGGAAACCATTGTAAAGGTTTTGCCTCACATCACTGGTTTGGCTGAAATGTCCACTCAGGCAATTCTGAATTACAAGACCTTATCTTTCAGGATCTCTGTTTCCCAGGTTTCTTTCCTTCTGGCGGCCAGTTCCTTTCCATTGCCTCCAGGCTGCTCAGGGAACCGCCCTTCATCAACTTCAGTACAAAGAAGTTTGCTCAGAGCTGACTTTTTTGGAAACTATGTCTGGTAACTCAGGACCCATCCACACATTGCCCCATTCCACATCAGCCTAATCTGAGAGAGGTGAGGAATTTCACAAATAAATCCTTGCTAATAGCTTACCAAGTCAGAAACTAGCATAATAGGTCAATTTCCTTGGCTGAGTGCATTTCAATAAAGTACTCCTGGAAAAATTAAAATATGGGCCCTGGTCCATGGGACTCAGTGGATTGGGCATAGTTCTGTGCATCAAAAGGATGCTGATTGGATTCCTGCTCAGGGCACATACCCAGGCTTCATTTTCCATTCCTGATTGGGTGTGCTCAGGAGGAAACCTATGGATACGTCTCACATTGATGTTTCTCTCTTTCTTTTTCTCTCTCATAAAAACATTTTTTAAAAAGATTTTTTTAAAAAGTTCAAGGATGTGAAATGTTTTTGGTGTGATTTGGAGCTTTTTCTTTATAATCACTAAAACTACCTCGTTTTTTTTTTGTTTTGTTTTGTTTTGTTTTTGGAATTGTTTATTGATTGGGAGGGGGGGGAGAGAGAGAGAGAGAGAGAGAGAGAGAGAGAGAGAGAGAGAGAGAGAGAGAGAGAGAAACATTGATGTGAGAGCACAAAATCAATAGTTTGATTCCTGCATGCCCCCTACTGGGGATGGAGCTTACATCCAGGACATGTGCCTTTGACCAAGATGGAACCAGCAGCTTCCTGGTGCACAAAAATATGCCCAATCAACTGAACCACACTGGCCAAGGCTAAAATTTCATTTCTTATGTGTATAAAACTTCACTCTGGGCCTTATTTGCCTCTGTAAACAGTGATGGGTTTCTCAGCGTCCTTAATCTTTCTGACTCCATAATTTAAAAGCTAGAAAGGGAATTGTTTTATTCCTTTATACAAATATTTAGTTCAGAATCTTGTAAAATTAATGTTTTAGTCATCTTAGGCTACTAAAACAAAACACTGTAAACTGAGCTGCTTAAAGAACAGACATTTATTTCTGCCAGTTCTGGAGACTGAGAAGGTCAAGACGAAGGTGCTGGTTGATTTGGCTTCTGGTGAAAAGTCTCTTCTTGTTTGCCATCTTCCTGTTGTATCTTTATAAAGCAGAGAGTGAGAGAGAAAGCTCCCAGTCTTTTCTTAATCCCATCCTAAGGATCCTATTCTCATGAATAGCAGACACAGCTATTCACTCTAAAATCAAAAGAGCCACCAGGATATTGATATTTGGGATAGGGCAATGAGAGTAGGTCATTGAGGACTATCATAAATGGATTATCTCCCAAAGGCCCCATCTCCTAATATGTCCTTGAGCCATCACATTGGGGAGTTAGGGTTCAACCTATGAATTTTTGGAGGACACAGATGTTCAGTCCATAACAATTACCTTTTAACTATAGGATTATTGGGTAAAATTGAGCTTTTGAAAAGAAAAAAAAAAGATGCAATAACTGGTAGTGAGTCAATCCTACCTCACTTTAGCCATATAATTCTACACTTGCCCTCCTTATGTGCTTGTCTTTGTGTAGCTTTCACCCTGCATGAATCTCTTTACAGGGGTTAAGACAAAGAGATAACAGTCCCCTCAGTGTACATTAGTGAACAAAATAAAGAGACATTAAAACCTCTTACGATAGCAATGAAGCCACATTATAGTTTATCTAATGATCCATACATATCCTATGTAATAAAGAGGGAATATGGTAATTGACTGCCAAAGATAGCAGTACCCACAGCCACAAGATGGTGACACCCAGTCCCCTCAGCCAGGTCGGGACAGCAGGTATGTGGCACAGCTGGGCACGCCCCCACATGGGTCTGGCTACTCCATGCACCTGCCTCTGAAGTCTCCCAATCCACTCAGCACACACAGCTGCACAGGACCAGCCCAAAGGATGACCAAACAATTAAACAAGGAGGCCATGTGGGGAGACCAGGCTGGCAGGGGGGTTAGTGAGGGATGACCAAATGACTGAATAGCAGGCTGTGCCTAGACTGGCACTCAGACATCCCCCATGGGGTCCTGGATTGGAGAGGGTGCAGGCTGAGCTGAAGGGATCCTCCTCCCCTGCCACCATACATGAATTTCATGCACTGAGCCTCTAGTTCACTCATATTACTTTGTCCCCATTATTTGTTCAAAACCATTCATATGTCATATTTGCTCTCTGAGTTAGGTTTTTAATTGAAATTGCCTAACATGATACTAAAGAACATGAAGCTGGTTTCATATGGTTCCTTTATGCAAATGGAAAATAAATTCTCCTCATCAGACACCTTGGCACGAAGGTGAAAATGGACATAATATGATATTTTAAAATAAGACTATATGCCAGAAAATTATCTTAATGTAAAATGTTAAGTTTTTCAGAGTCTACATATAATAAATATAGGAAAACATATACATGGATAAATACATGAAATTATCCAAGATAATACAAATGTCCATAGTGTGATTTGCACACCCTTAGATGTGACCATTCTCTCTCTCTTTCTCTTTTTTGTTTTCAGCATACAATCTAAGCAACCACATTCAGTTATCCTGCTCCTATTAGAGAGCCTGCCTCTTCCTACCCAATAAAGAAACACCCTTTACTCATGTAGCTGAGGGACTATTATTGTCCTTTCCTGTCATCTTAAGCAACTGTGTTCTTTATAAGGAAGCAGAGGACAGAAGACTCAGTGTGTTCACTGTAACATTTTACTGTGATAAAAGGTGCAGATTTTATTAACTGGGATCTACAAATTCTGGAGACATAAAATTGCCAGGATAGCTGGATGGGTACTAGGAACTCTATCACAGTATGCAGACATAGCTATTCACTCTAAAACCAAAAGAGCCACCTGGATATTGATATTTAACACAGGGCAATAATAAGCAATTATTAAATATTATAGTATTAATTTAAACCATGTAACAATTTTATTAATAAGGTTGTTGTTTGCCTTTTAAAATGTATTTAATTCTAAGAACCATCCCACCAGTCTAATTAGGTCATTGGTAAGTTGTGTGTGTGTGTGTATGTGTGTGTGTGTGTATTTTAATTTCTTCCTAACAACTCCCAAAACAACAGTGCCATAAGCCAGTGCCTGACCAGTAAAGAACCCATGGCCATCCGGATAGGAATAATGAACCTCAGTGGTTCCATAGGTTTCCCATTTAGTAAATTCTTGCCCATCTCTTGGGTAGAATCAATCAAGAATAACAACGTTATAGCCCAGTATTTTCTCTTTGGATCCAGAAATCATGAGGCCATAATTAAGAAATTGTTTCCAATAATTTTGTAATAATAAGAAGTCACTTTGGGAGATAAATTGAAAATTATACATAATAACAAAATGACTAACAATTGAGTAACTATTTTTAAGTAACTGGGGAATGTAAAATAATTATTATAAAGATAATGAGAATATAAAGAAATATTTTGGGGTCTAAGAATATGCAAAACAATTAGAAATATAAAGTTTTCTTTAAAATTGGGACTTTGGCCCTAGCTGGTTTGGCTCGGTGCATAGAACGTTGGCCTGCAGACTGAAGGGTCCCAGGTTTGATTCCAGTCAAGGGCATGTACCTTGATTACGGGCACATACCAGTGTGGGGAAGGGGGTGGTATGCAGAAGGCAGCTGATCAATGTTTCTCTTTCATCAATGTTTCTCTATCCTTCTCCCTTCCTCTTTGTAAAAAAAAAATCAATAAAATATATTTTTAAAAAGTTTCTCTGAAAGATCGAGTCAGTCATTGAATCTTTATAAAAAAAGTAAAATTTAGACTTTGTATTAAAATATTAATGGAAACACACACACACACACTTACACACACACATGTATGTATATATATATATATATATATATATATATATATATATATATGAAGAAAATAAATGGAAATAAAATGATAGGGCATCCTAGCTAATAAAAATGGAACAAATGTATAGGAATACACATCTGTTCAGTATAGATGAGACAGTTTATGTTGCAAACAGCAGAATCTATATGGTGAACAGTATGTGAACATCAGAACATGATGAATTTTGATCTCTAGGTAATTCTTGAAAGAAAGTATTGATACCTCATTAGTATTCTATGTGTATTTATTCTACAGACCTCACTGAGTACCACTATAGAGATGTACATTCTGGCGCTCTGACAATTTCAAACCTTTAAAATTTCAAAAAGCTTCAAAGTCAATAATTTAAGCCAGTTTCTAATTTGTTTTACCTTCTTGCTAAGTCAGGTGTCTAAACATTTATCATAAATCTTTTTCATTTCCCCTTATTTTTGATGATTTATCTACTTGAAAAGCAGGTAGCCTGAATGACCATCTTTCAAAAACTTAAATTGTATGCTAATGCTTTTATTTTTTATGTCCAATAGACAGAATGTGCAAATTTCATTCGAGTCCTTCAACCCTATAATAAAACTCACATTTATGTGTGCGGAACTGGAGCATTTCATCCAATTTGTGGATATATTGATCTTGGAGTCTACAAAGAGGTAATATAATGAAATTGCTTGAAAACAATTTATTGTGATACTTTATTATGAAACATGGAGTCATATCATTTATGTACAGTATAAGAACTCATGTTCCTAACCACTTTATGACTTGCTATTTTGATTATATACTTTATCTAATAAAAATTGTTCTATTAAAAATTTGGGTTTTTTTAGTGAGATGATCAAAATTAATAGTGCAAAATGTTGAAAGTATATGTTTTCTATGGACTCTATGTATGTCTTTATTTTTTCTTGAAGTTCCTTTACAACTAGATCTGTTTTGTATGTTGCTATTGGTAAAAATCCATTTTCCACAAGACCTTGCAATGGAATTGTGTATTTTAAGAAATTTCATTTGTCCCATTCAACAAATTTGACCCATTATGTTTATAATGGCAGACACTAAGTACAGAAAATGTAATAATTTTGTACTAACTGTATATAGGTAGTCATATTAGCACACCGAATCCATTATTTTTGCTGGACCAAATTGACATAGTAGAAATAAAGTATAATATTAATTAGGAGTAATGTATAACAGCTCTCCCTGAGCATTTCAGTAAATGAGAAAAAGACATATTTCAGAAATTTAATTAATAACTAATCTAGGGTTTTTGTGTATCATGGATTGTACCACACATTTTATATGAATTATGTTCTTAGAATTTCATGACACTCATAATGAAATTAGTATCTTCATCACTTCTAATTTAAAAGTTACTAAAAATTGAGTCTCAATGGAATTAAATAATATGGCCAAGATTACCCAACTAATAAATGCTCTAGCAAGGAACTGAACCAACACTCTTTCTAGACCAAGCATGCACAATTCTGCTTTTGGAACCTATATAAGGTACTCTAAAGCGTATCCTTATATAGGTTGATGGTTTCATTCTCATTCTTGTTTATATATATACTTCTTATGAGTAACCACTCATATTTGCAGAATAATTGGCTGCATGATTGATATTAAAGTCTGAGTTTATGGAAGAGGTTTCTTTATATTGATTTAACTGATCCATGCAGAAACCAAACTCACAACTTTGGCTGGATACATTTTCCTCTCTAACCAGCTTGTCTAACCAAGCCCAGACTCAACTGCTTGAGAATATAGCAACCCTGATAGTTAAATCTCTGAACCACTAGGAGACTTGGCAACTGGAATCCATCATTCTTTGTTCCTGTGTAATGTTCTCTTGGCTAGCTTTGAGGAAGGATAATGTATAATAGTAGCTCACAGCACAGGGTGTAATTATATGAGATAGCCCCACAGTTTGGATGTGTTTTGAAGCCTGAGGCTAAAGGCCAAACTCACAACCTGCTGAAGGATGCAGAGCGTGTTCTTTAGCTCCTAAAAGTCACAAGTGCTGAATAGGAATTTAGATGGAGCTAATTATTTAGCTTCAGACTGTCAAGAAGCCCAGGGACAGTGAAATTTACAAGTTCTGTGAGAATAAGAGAATTATGAGTGCATAGGGGTAGGGAGACTTGGCGAGGTTGCTGCTGGTCAGGAGTACAGGTAATTGTAGTCAGCCCTACTTGAAGATGGTTAACTTTGTGAATGAATTATTAGCGCTAGGAATTCATTGTTCTTCCAGAGGGAATTTAAAAGGCTCTTCTATTTTCAAGATAGACAAGGTTGCTCTGCAGGTGATTGAGAAGAGGGAACTAATATATAAAAGGGATGGAGAAGAGAATTATGGGAAATCCCCTTTCTGGGAACTCATGTTCAGTGCAGCTGGGGCAATGGGCAGAAGGGTCAAAAAGCTCAAATGAATCCCAGATTTCTGTGGTTGGCAGTGACTTGGAGAGTGGTGTTATTTACTGAAGTGAGGATAGTAACAAGTTTGTGGGGAGACTGGTGAGTTTTGTCCGTCCTGCATTGGAGAAATGGTCAGTAGGTCATGCCAGTGGGAAGTTGGATCTGGATTTCGGGACAGAAGTCAGGGCTGCTGTCAACAACTAATCACTGGAGCTGGAGGAGCCAGAATTTGAATTATGGCTGCAGGCACTTACCATCTCCATGGTCTTGTGCACACTACATAAGCTTTCCAACCTTCTGTTTTTTCAGCAAAATGATGATAGTAATACTAACTACCTCACAGAGTAATTTTGAGGACAAAATGAGAAAATTATAGTATAGGCTTTGGCATAGCACTTGTTTCATTCCAGCCACTTAATACTCAGCCATAACAGCCCACAGAAACACAGAAAAGTACAAAGGCAAGGATTTCAAAAGTATTATATTAATGTCTGCTATATATAATATACACATGCATATACATATACCTATACATATGCATAGGTATATACATATACATATACATATACATATACATACACATATACATATACATATACATGTATTCTGTAAAACTTGGAGTGCCTGATAGCTATTAAATAATTATATTGGAAGTATATTCTATCTTCCTTCTCCCGCTGCAAATCTCATCTTTAAATGGGAAAAGTATTAATAAAAAGTTTGCCTAATTATGATTAAATATTTCCTATCACTCTTGCTTTGTTTCAACAATATTTCAGTGTGCAGCCTCGAAAAAAATAATTAAATTAAGGAATTAAGTGGGGGGGAAATCTTATGAAGTTGAAGCTGTCTCAGAAGTTAGAGTGCCATGTGAAGCAGTCGTTTTATCTGAGGCAGTCCATTTAATCAGCCATTATTTTTTTACATCATTTTCCTGTTGGTATCCTTGACTCTGGCCCAGTGAAACTTGCTTCCTCACTATCTTCTTTCTCCAGAGATTATAAAGGAGGCTTTGTCCCCAGCCTGTACAAATACCCATTTTACAGGCTTATCTTGAGAATTTAATGAAATGTTGCATTTTAAAAACAGAAGTCTGTACAATTATAAGGGAGTATTTAGTACTTTGCATCAAATGTGACATTCTCTCAGATATTTTCTTGTTCCTTTAAAAAAAATTTTTTTTTTTTTTTTAGCTTTTCACTCTGATCTTCTGCCATAGCAAGATTCAGCTTATTTTCCCCCTTTACAATATCCTATTATAGGCTTTAGAGTCAACACTTCTGTTTGATCTGTGAAGAATAATGTTCCCTTAACGATACTTACACATACTTAAGAGCCACTATCTACAGGTGTGTTTTTCCTGACACACCTTAAGCCTCATCCACAGTTGGAAAGCAGCCCTAAACATATTCGCACTAGACTTTTCTTTTTCATGTCTAGCCTCTGCTCTCATAGCTTGCCATTAGCTGACCTGTCTACTTAAACATACTTGGGCTTGATCATCTTATATGATCACTGTGAGGCTACTATAAATTGATTTCAACACATTTTAAGTTCATGAGTTTGAATTCTGAGACTACGTTAGTTAAAAGCGTGAACTTTGGAGACAAACCAAGTATGAACTACTGCTTTAATTCTTACTAGCTATGTGATGCTGAACAAGGTATTTAATCCCTCCATCCTCAATATTTCTCTTGTAAAGTTGGAATTCTCAGAGTACCTTCATTATTAGGCTTATGGTATGGATAAACTGAGACAACATATATAAAGTTTCTGGCCCATGGTTAACTGTTAGGTATCTTACTATTAGTATTTAAATGCATTTACTTGGAACTGTAGAATAACAATTGTTAATCATGCTATTTAAATTACTATTGCTATTTTTTTAAAGGCAGTAGCTACTGTTGGTCTTGTTCATAAGAAAAACATCTGACATGGCAGATAATACAATAACAATAAATAATCCAGTTCCTCTATCCCTTTTGTTTCATTGCTTACTTTCTAGATAAGTAGCACTGAATGGTCCTTCTTTATGACATGTATGTGTGCTCTGATACAACTCTGTAGCTACACCATCTAGAGAGAATGTCTGAAATGCTAAATTTCGGTAGTGCCTAGGCAGGGTGAGTCATCAGCCTTTTGCAGTAGGGTAGTGTTGTCATTGTTATGAAACCTTCAAGCTCCTGGGACTGTATTCATTATACATTCATATTTTTCTTGGAGAGTTCAACTTAAGATGTTATTTTTTCCTGAATATTAAAATATGCCAGTGTCATTCAGTGTCTGTGGCCACTATTGTACAAACAGATGTTTCAGCCAAAATAACTATGTGGCTTTTAATGTGTACAGTGTTTTCATAATAGTGAAAATACTGTAACAGGATATTTTTTGCCCACATGCATCAACAGCTATGAAAATGAACTTCCTACCTTAGAACGTTTTATGTCACTAAAATTACAAAATACAACAAGGCTTAAGTAACTTGGAATAGTTGCAGATGCTTAGGTTAATAGATCATAATATCTATGGAAGAATAAATATTATAGTAAATGTATCTCTTAGATGAGGAAATTGGCTTGCTAAGCTCAACAAATTACTTATTAGACTTAAGAAATATGTGTGTTTGATGGTGATATTGATAATGATAGTGGTCCAGACTAAATACATTTATGAGTATATTAGTACTTCTGACAGAAAAATCCATCCTGTATTATTATTAATACTTTGGGCAAACAGAGACCAAAACATGGAGATTGAATCTTGCCAGTAATAATATTTGCTAAAGAGTTAAGGAGCACAGCATGATGCACATGCTATATATGCTCAATCAGTTTTTGTTGAATTAATGAGTTAAGTATTAGTTTTTAATCTCCTATGTTCTTGCTGATTCTGATAGTCTTAAGAAATCTCACTTGTGTTAATATTCCTCATAACAGGAAGTTATGTTCAAACTAGACACACACAATTTGGAGTCCGGCAGACTGAAATGTCCTTTTGATCCTCAACAGCCTTTTGCTTCAGTAATGACAGGTAAGATCAATGATAGGCAGTTCTTGCTTTAGGTGTTTTAAAAAGGTATATGTAAGTTAAACTACATTTTTCTATCGAGTTAAAGATTATTTTTGAGTCTTCCACTAACTATAGTGTTTTAGTGCCAAATATCTCTATATTTAGCATCCTTATTAATAAAATGAGGTCACAGCATCCTTACTGTCTACACAGTTAGGTTTTACTTGAACTTCTGGTTGAATTCTTTTTAATGCAAATCAAACACACTCACTTGTTCTTAAATGTTACATTTAAATGTCTCAGATTATCTTTACTAAGCTGTGTCCCCATAAGTTTAGCAATTCCTTAAACATAATATGTTGCACATTTTAAGACTTAAGTGGAAAAATTAATGATAAGATATAAGTGGATAAATTAATAAAATAAAATAAATTGATCAAATTATAGAGTACAGATTTCACTTGCTAATAAAAACTCCACATTTTCACTAGCATGTTCAGCCTTATCTTGCTTTGTGTACATCTTAAATTTTCTTCTGAGAAGACTCTTTTATTTAAAGAAGGCAGTGCTGTGCGGTCTGAAGTCTATTCTGAGAAAAGTCTGCACAACATTTCAACCATTATAAGAACTCTTTTTGTCTTGGTTTACTTCGTGACTTTATCCTCTTTTTATTTAGCTTGTCTATCAAATGTTTGAATAGTCTATGCGAGTGAAGCACCATGACATTTTAATTTTCACTTACTGAGAACTGGTGAACTCCCTTTGAAGTGAAAGCTTGTGTTTTTGTGTGTTTTGAAAATCGTGACTAATGTTCAGTCATTATCTTAAAAAAATGAGATAGATGATTTGTGATTCTAATCTGTCAAGAAGGGTTAAGATGCCCTTAATAAAAAACAATAGATGGTAGGCATCGGTGACCCCTCTTAAGAATCTCTAAGTAATTTAAATACAAGGAAGACAGTTTTAGAGCCTGAATCTACAGATTCAGTTTTGGAGTTGAAACATACAAATTTTATTTTTCTGACCAAATGGTCAAATAGTTAAAATTTTGTTTGAAGGTAATTTATCGCCTTTACTCTTACCAAACTTGTTTCACAATGACTTTGTTGATTTTATTTTTTTTACTTTTGTTTTTTAAAAATTTGCCTCCATATGAAATGTTGCCATTTACCACATATCTTAAGGGAATGTTTTCAGAGATGGAAGCAATGCCATATGAACATTTATGTTACATACTGGATTTCTCTATTTTGTACTTTTGTTTTTCTTTGAGGTTGACTATTGTCTCAATTAGTTTAGTAAAAATGCATTTAGATGGATATAATCAGAGGACTTAGAAAGTATCTGAATCACACAAAAGCAAAATTTAAATAGATGTTTGTGAGGAAAATCGGTCTTCAATGATAAAACAGTGTCTTTATTGATTTTTTATCTAGACATTTAAAAAATCTAAATTTTCTATAGAGATTGGCCATTTTTAATTTTGATCTATTAAGGCTAACCCAAAGTAGTTGACTATGAAGATTTCTTGCAATAGCTTAGCTCTCAAAAAAGCAACACATTCTACTATAGCAGTGTTTCCCAAACTTTTGACATATGTGTAACCCTTCTATAATTTTCGTAACGCTGAGTACCCCTCTTACTCATGAGAACATAGAATTAGGCGCAGCTAAGCACGGTGCAGTGCATATCCCCACCAAGCTCTGGTGCAACACGTACCCCCACCAAACTCTTCCCGTACCCCTGGGGGTAGGCTTCCACAGGTTGGGAAACTGTGTACTATAGGGATAGCATTCTTTTCTGCCACCTTCCTCCACCCCAACAATGTGCTAATAATCATTGGGGGACTTTGACACCCCCTCCTCTTTTTCTCCCCCCCCCCCAATGAATCCTTTTGTTTACCCCTCCCCCACCCCCATCTCCCTTTACTCTCTTCCCCTTTCTGTTATCTTTTTCTCTCCTTCCTGTCTCCTTTTCCTCTTCCTCCTATCTTCCTACCAACTTTTCCCCTCTCAGCCTCTTTCTTCTTTGCTAGCCCCATTTCGCTTTCCTCTCCTCCTACTTTTCCCTACCCCTTCCTTCTCCGCCCCTTTCCCCTCTCTTTCCTTCTCCGCCCCTTCCCTCTCCCCTTTCTTCTCCCCCACCTCTCTTCTCTCATAAAACATGGATATGCACTTTACATAAATAACTGGACAAAAAAGTTTGGTATGCAGTAATAGCAACATCATTCCCTTCTTTCCCCTTTCAGGAATTCCTGTTTATCAGAACTGTTAGAGACAGGACTAGCTACAAGGAATGTAAAATGTTATAATTACAAAGAATGACTTCAGTGCTGAAAGCTCTCTTTCAGCAGAGATTAGGCAAAGAAAAGTTGTGGTCATTGAGGTTGTGCCTGCTAAGTAAATACTAATTACACAATCCATTCTTCATAATGGCATTTACTTTTTAATATTCCTTTGTGTTGCTACAATGAGAAGCTCCTAATTATGATACACCATTGAATTATTTGTGAGGAGAAGGGACGGAAGAGGTAGTTCATAAGAGAAGCCAATACATGTACAGTTCTTAAAACATCAGATAACCAATGTTTACGGAGTTATCTCTTTTCTTTAAACAATTTTTTCCAAAATCTGAATGTGAAATTTATGAATTAACCATCAATATATTCTGATGTTGAGCTATAAGCATCTCTGGCTGCATGCTACGAAATTAGTATATTGTAAATAGTATTGCTGGTAAACTCTTAGAAGTCTTATGTATTCTTTTCTCCCACCCAGATGAATACCTCTACTCTGGAACAGCTTCTGATTTCCTTGGCAAAGATACTGCATTCACGAGGTCCCTTGGGCCTACTCAAGACCACCATTACATCAGAACTGACATTTCAGAGCACTACTGGCTCAATGGTTAGTGATTTTCTCACTTTTGATTGTTTTGTCTTGCTTGTGGAGAGATAAGAAAGTCATTATTATTCATGCAGATGTGTTTTGGGATAAGCAATTTAGTTCAACGTTTTAAAATAAGTTTGAAATAATTTCTCACTAAGTTATGCAATAATTGAGTGTGTGCTGTTGTCCTTGACATTCCTATGTTCTAATTGATTTTTTAATATTCTTAATGACCTGTGAGGTATATTTAATGAGTATAAATTTTTAAAGATGAGATAGAGAGAAGTTGAATAATTTGGTTAAGATCTTACAACTTGTAAGCTGCAGAGCTAGGCTAAAAGTTTGCAACCTTTCTCCTGTAGTCTTTTGATGACTAGATCAAAGTCTGTCTATGAGTGAATTGAAAAGAGGTTAGATTATAATGCTAACTTCTTTTGTTTAAAGATAATTTATGTTTTGATTAATACATATCCCTCCAAAATTTTAAGCATGTTGATATTGTCATTAGTTTGATTCCTTTTTTGTTTGCAGATCATACAGTATTCCAAGTTTTCAATAAAACAAACTTCTCCAAAAAACAAAAACAAAAACAAAAAACAAAAACAAAGCCTAAATATATTTATTTAATTCAAGGAACAATGCAAGGGTTTTTTGTTTTGTTTTGTTTTGTTTTTTGTTTTTTTTCCGACTGCCTTGCAACAAGTCAGGATTTATCATTGATGTTTTCATATCAACGTAGGAATTATTCTGCTGCATGGAAGAATAACATAACATTGCTATCTAAGCAGGCAAGCAGCATTTCTCATTCCCACCATAAATATTGGGTTTTAGTGGAGGAGGCCAGGGTAAAAACTTCCTAGGGGCTATCTCTCTATCTCTTTATGTCATTCAAGGAGTGACAATATAAACAAAAGGGAAAAACATTTATTTAGTCAAAACTTCCAGATCCATTTGTTTATACAACAATGTCAATTTCATTGACCAAAATAGAACCCATTATTAGGTAACACAAGTTTAGAATATCCCCAATTAAGTTATTTCTCAACACTCTCTTCGGGAGCCTTGTGAGGTTTTGTGGAAATACTTGATTTGAGAGGAACTCCATAGATTTTACCAAAAGAAAATATTTTGTTTACTCATCTGCTTGGTAACAAGATATACTTAAGGCTTTAAAGTGAAATATATTACATTGTATTTTCCAGTCTTGGGGTGGCAAATATCATTATATTGCCATTTAAAAGATTGTTCCATTCTTTTTCTTAACTGTGACATGTTCATAAAGAAGTCTGAATACTGCTAGAACAATAAATATAGGAAATATTTATTCAACTATTTTAATAAACACCATTTGACAGCCTATGGCATACTACTGGCTATTCTATACACTGGGTCTGAAAAGATTATGCAGGAGGGTTGCTAACCTCAGGCAGGACAAATACCTGAGGCATAAGAGGAGAGTGGGATATGAAACTAGAAAGCTGTCAATATCCATAAACCAATGAGAAGTTATCTGTCTTTTAACTTATATTTTATGTGTTTGAGGAATAGTTGACAAGTAACATTATATTAGTTGCAGGTATACAACATAATGACTCTATATTTGTATATATTATAAATTGATCAACACAGTAAGTGTAGCAACATCCATCATCAGGCATAACACATTTTTTTCTTGTCATGGGAACTTTAAGATTTATTTTCTTAGCAACTTTAAATTATGTAGTACATTATTATTAACTATAGTCACCATGCTATATTTTACATTCTCAAAGCTCATATTTTTTTTCAACTAGAAGGTTGTTTCTTTTGAACCCCCTACACCATTCCCTGATATTAATTAGAGAATCAGATCTTTGTTTTTGATGAAGGTAACTGACAATTGTATGAGGAGAATGAGGACAGAGAAAGATAAGAGACCAAAAGCAGGAAATCAGGATGGAATAGGAACAAAGGTAGTGGCAGTAGAGGTGGACATGAAAATATACAGAAATAAATATTAGAAGTTGAAGATATTTGTTTGGGAATAGAACAATTTGAGGGAGATTTTGGATAGTGGGGAAAAATGGCAATTGAAGTAATCAGAAAGCAAGAAATTGGAGGTAAGAGAAAATATTCACCACAGAAGAACTCAATGGATTGAAGGAAGGCAAATGATTAAGACTGAGGGAGAACATCTATGGTTCTAGAGCATTCATGGCAGATTGCTTAGTGGTTAATGACAGGAGTGCCATATGACCTGATTTGCCTGGATATTTCCAGTTTTAATATGTTCTTTAACTCTTAAATGTGCCCCATTTTAGATAAAAATTATAGCTCTGTTTATGTATAATTTAGTTGCCTACATTTAAATACTAACCATCACTTATTTGTGACCTTGGTCAAATCTTTTTTTGTCTGAAATTTTGGAATAATAAAAGTATTCACAGGGTGCTGAATTCTGTGAAAGTGTTTCCTAAGACTATATTTCCATCCTTTTCTTAGAACTGAGTGCCCTTAAAAATATTTATTTGGATATCTTATATTTCCATCTCAGATGAGAAGAAATGGTTGTTTAATATGGGAGTAAAGATATCTAAGCTTTAGCCTTGATTATACTACAAAAGTGCTTTGAAACATTTACAAGTTGTTTAGTGACACTTTGAGTTTCCTCAAATATGTACATGGGTAGATAGAGATGTAGAAATAGGTATATAAGAGACTATTGTGTCTAAAATCTAAAATTTTATGAGTCTAACTTAAAAATGATCATGTTTTCCCCTTTGTAGCTTATCTTTCATTACCAGTTTCCTGATTTTTATCTGTCTTAACTTTCTTAATTTCATCCACCCCGTTACCTTGAAATTATCTTTGATTCCTTCCTCTTCTCACCCTTTATCTAATGTTTTGATAAGGACCTTTACTTCCTTCAAAATATATATTGACCTTGTTTTTTTCTTTTTTCCTTTGGCTTCATCTTCCTATAGGTCTCCATCACCTTATCTCAATACAATTTATAATATGTTCAGTATTTTATTGACATATTATATATGTCATTCTTTTATTGTTTCTTACATCATTTTGGTCTAGCCAGTCAGTCAGTGTGAGCATTAAGTCAGAGGTTTGCTGAGGGACAAGCCAGCTGCAGTTAGATGAGCACTGTGAGAGCTTCAAAAGAACCAGTTAGTTTCTCGGTCCATGAAAACTAGGACAGAGCAAGGGAGAAAGTACAGAAACTATATGAAATTCTTATAATGAGCACGTCCCTGGCATGCTAAGGCTAAAAAAAGATCGGCTTGCTTAGGGAGAGTTTCTGTCCTCTGTTCTGAGAAGTGGCCATTTTTCAGTTGTAGTCAGTCTAGGTTCCAAAGACAGGTCATGGGGTCATCAGCTGGTGTCAGCAGTGTGGTGAGGACAAAGCACACTGATTGTTAGAGAAAATGTGCTGATTACTGGGAATGAATGTTATCGCAGACATTATCTTATTCAACATGATACTCCACAGATGGAGATTCAGTGTGAAGAAGGGATATGTCCAGGTCTCCTAAGTACCAGAGCCATCTTTCCATTACAATACCAGCTTCTGACTAGAGCGGCATATCAGGTCTCCTGAATTCGGAAGCTTGACTTCTATTTTGGTAGCAATTATGGGGCTAAAACTCAGTTTCTTCCTTAGCACTGGACCTAACACAGTTAATGAAACAGCCTAATTACTATAGCTGAAGTATGGAAAATGAAAACAAATGATGATGCCTCAGTTGCATATGTTTTTGTTTCCTCCCATGAAGTAAAGCAGAACTTTTGTTTTAATTTTGCATTTTTTAACATATGGGGGCAGTTTTTATTTGCAGTTTCTTTGGGAGTGCTCTGTTGGCTATAAATTCTCCTTCCACACAAAAGAACATTTTTTATGAAAAAGATGTTACGATAAGTAAAAGTAAGAAAGTCATTATAGGTTGTTATTGTGTAGGTGAGCTCATCTGGGTGAGAGGTTCAGAGGGAGAAATGAAAGTGATGTGTAATACAGGCCATGTGGATTTATTCCTTCTTCATTTGGCAGTAACTCTTGGTGTCATGCTAAAAGTTCATTTGTGAAAATGCATGAGTACGAACTCCACCCCTATTAGGACATGTGTTTCAGATGCCAAAGAGGGAAAATGTGGCATAATAAAGCCCAGGTGTCTTTTGGTATAATTTTTATATTATTTAATTGAGCAACAGTACATGTCCTATACTGATTACATGATACCTATTTTACCCAAATTAGGCAGCAAGTCAGAAAAGTTTCTATCAAGATATACTAACATCATGTTCTAAGACAGGACCGCAATTGAATCTGCAAAAAAGAAACTCTTTATTCTTGAAACATGTGTACCGTATATTTTCAACTCATAAATATGCATATTGTTTAAATCACAGAACAGAGTACTATTTGATATTCTTTCCCCCTAATTACATTTCTTCATTTGGTAAACATTTGGCTTAAACACTTCCACTATTCAATTTTCTTACAGTACTCCAAAAACAGTTTTCTTATAGATGGAAAAATAATCATCATTCAAAAGAGAGTTCAATAAAACCAGTAAAACTAAGTCACTGAATAGACACAATAAGACTATCTGTTGTATATGTATAAAATGGTCATCTATGTCCTTGACTCTTAATCTTAGATCCTTATAAGAATCACCTATATAGTTTTATTTATTTTTGTCTATAAATATATTTTAAAAATACACATGCCAATGCAACTGGGAATTTTCATCCAGTGCCTGGATATTGCATTGAGACATCTGCAAATTCAAAGAAGTTATGTAGATGATTATTAATGTCTAGTGTGTATTTGGGAGACCACAGTTGGTTGTCTTTTCTCTGCCTGTATTGTTTCAACCCCCCTTTTAAGTCACTGGAAACAAGATGGTCCTTCATAGCCATATATCCTGGACATATGTTAATATCTCCTTAATCTAGATTGTAATTGGTTTGAAGTGAAGCTTTAGTTTTATTAATTTTTACATTCTTTGATTCTACCAGTTTCTTGTACTAAATGACTTGAACATAGTAGTAATTAAAAATAGTTTTCATTTTCATGAATTAGCTGAAATCTTAATGCCGCATTTGTAGGAAAATTTATTTCCACAAAGAGTTTTGTTTCTTTATAGAAACATAATGTATTTAAATAAAAAATGAGAAGTGTTAATTTGTTACAAAAAAAGAACTTTTACTTTGCTCAGAAATTCAAAACCAATTGTTTGTAATTTATCAATAATTTAAAAGACAGCTGGAGGGGGAAATCATAACACCTTGAGTGGACTTGTTAATGGACCTTGCTAATTTAAGATTAATTAGAAAAGAAAATTTAAAGCATCCTACATAGTTTTCTAAAATTTAACTTTTGTATAATCTAGGGTCACATGAAAGTGAGATTATCAGGAGCATAGGAATACATTGGAGTTCTAAATTCCAGGAACAGAATAGGGAATAATAAAGAACAAAGTGGAGAAGTTGGTGCCCATATCCTCCCCATCCTTCTTTTCCTCTCAACACTTCTCAGAGAAACAGTTGGATGGGTGACCAGGGCTGACCTAGAGAGCTGAGGTGGTAAAGACTGAACTACCCATTACTTGGAATTAAACATTAAGTTTTGTCTGTTGAACTGCTCTGCATTTGCGGGAAATGATTTTTAGTCTCCTAGGGTACACCACAATCAGATCCCTGGGCAAATCTCTAGAGAAGGCAGTGTTGATCTTTCTTACCTCCTATTTCTTCTTCTTCTTCTTCTTCTTCTTCTTCTTCTTCTTCTTCTTCTTCTTCTTCTTCTTCTTCTTCTTCTTCTTCTTCTTCTTCTTCTTCTTCTTCTTCTTCCTTTTCTTCCTCTTCTTCCTCTTCTCCTCCTCCTCCTCCTCCTCCTCCTCCTCCTCCTCCTCCTCCTCCTCCTCCTCCTCCTCCTCCTCCTCCTCCTCCTCCTCCTCCTCCTCCTTCTTCTTCTTCTTCTTCTTCTTCTTCTTCTTCTTCTTCTTCTTCTTCTTCTTCTTCTTCTCTTCTTCTTTTCTTCTTCTTTTCTTCTGTGTTGTATGTGGTGTGAACAGTTATCTCCTCTTGTTTGCTGCTTCTATTCCCTGAACAATGCTCTGTACTTCCTTCCAGGTATCTGGTATTTTCCATTTACCTGAAGTCCTTTCTTTATTTCTCAACTACTGTCTTAGTCAAAAGGATTATTTCTGAACTAGCATCTCTCAGTTACAGATCTGTTACCTGGTTAATTCACAATGATATACAACTAGGACTTAAAATGCCTATAAACACGAAATTAATAACTCAACTTGTCATTAGTGCAATGGAAAGGGTTTAAAGTATTGCCAATTTTTTTTGTGTTTTTTTTTCCCACCTACTATGTATTATAGACATCTTTCCATGTAGCACTTTTAGAACTATTTCATTATTAGCCCCTACATATTATACTAATAATTGGTTGGATGTGCACTTTTTTTTTTCTGGTTTGTGGTCCTAATAATAATAATGGTTATCACCATAATCATCATCTTAACAATAAACATTTACTGAACACTATGTGTCAGTCACTGTCAGATACTAAGTACTTTATATATATTAGTTCATGGTATCAGTTATCCAAGTAGGTAGATGGTATCAGTAGTTTCCTATAAGGTGTGAGTATCTTGAGGCATGGAGAAAATAAATCATTTGCCCAAATTCATCTTTTCAGTAGGTGGCAAAGACATGATATGAACCTGGAGAGAATGTCATCAAAGCCTACACTGGAGTTGATTCACACACTATTTGTTGTTGTTTTTTCATTTTGGAAATTACACAAAATGCACCAAATAATGTCCTAATATAACACAATTTAGGATACATTTATAGTTTTTCCTAAGCTTTTTATGGTAGTTATTGTAGCTAAAAAGCAGTGACTCCACAATATAAAAGAATATAAGTCATAGAATCTTTAGGTGTGAAAGGGTAAGTTAAGTAATTTAGTCGAGGTGCAAAAATTATATCAGCCAGTCATGTTCTCACCTGCTCTCTAGAGTTCCTAGATAACTTGTTCAGGACCTCTTCATGTGAATACATGTTTCTATGGGTATCATATTTATTTTTTTGTGTCTCATTCCCCACATTCCATTCATGGTTCATTTTTTTTAATTCTGCTAATTGTTTTACATACAGAAGATGCCTGTAGTATGGTAGCTAAATTATTTCAGTATTTTAATTTATAGCTTCTTTTCTTTCAAACAGGTGCCAAATTTATTGGGACTTTCCCCATCCCAGACACCTATAATCCAGATGATGATAAGATATATTTCTTCTTTCGTGAATCATCTCAAGAAGGCAGTACTTCAGATAAGATGATTCTTTCTCGAGTTGGAAGAGTTTGTAAGGCAAGATATATTTATTTTACCTAAGTATGCATGTATGTGTCTGAACAATTACCCATGAAATGGGGAAGTAAAAGTTAATGTCCACTATTAACAAGTGGTAAGATATATTCCTACTATCTTACATGTATAATATTTGAGATCTGAAAGGAAAAGGGAAAAAATGATTAGCTTTTCCAATGTTCAGTTTCCTTTTCCAGTGCCTGAGCTTGTTGCCCAGGTGAGAGTCTCTTTGGCACCTCGCTCCTTTCACTTATGCTATATCCCTTTGCTAATTATTGATATTCCAGTAAATCACTGCATTGTCCTAATTTGTGGAGATTAAAATGTTCTTACACATGAAATAATCTGATTTAAAAATTGAAAGCAATTTAATAAGCTATAGAGAAAGTTAAATACTAAAAAAAAATCATATCATGTATTTTTTTTTAATCAAAACACAGATCTCATCACACATCTAAAATTATATATATTTACTTGGGTCAAATAAGTTGAAAATGTGGTTCTAGTATTATTATAATAATTTTTTAGAACATTAATCTAGATTTGGTTCTGAAAGAAAATGAAATAAAGAGGAAAAAAGAGCAAACAAATAGAAATGCTATAATTATTTTGAAGAACATAATTAGTTTTTTTAGTACTGCTGTTTTATGTAAATTAAAGGAAAATGCAGAGACTCTATGAGACACTTCTATTCTGTGCCACCAAAGCTCTCATTGTTGCAATGGTTGAGCATCAACCCATGAACCAGGAGGTCACTGGTTGATTCCTGGCCCAGCTCATTCCTAGGTTTTGGGCTCAGTCCCCAGTAGGGGACAGCTGATCAATGTATCTCTCTCATCAGTGTTTCTATCTCTCAGTCCCTCTCCCTTCCTTTCTCTCTAAAAAAAATTAAAAACATTTTTTTTTTTAAAGATCTCATTTGAGTGAATGCAAGCTTTGTAGAATAATAATGCTACTGGATTTACTAATGACTTTAGTGTATTTTTTTTAGCCGGATTTATCTTAACTAAAATAACTTTTTCTTTTTTTCTTTCATCTTTTCAATTCTCACTTGGGGACATGCTTTATATTGATTTTTAGAGAGAGAGGAAGGGAGAGAAAAAGAGAGAGAAATATCCTTCGGTTGCCCTCTGTACTCCCACTGAGGATTGAATCCCCTTACCTAAGTACACTACATGCTCTGACAGGGAATCAAACCCAGAACCCTTTGGTGTATGGAACAACACTCCAACCCATTGCCCCAGGCCAGAGTAAAATCACTTTTCTTAAACAGATATGCGCCTCCAGTATTAACTCAGTTATTAAGAAGGAGAGCTGTTAAGCTAATTCGTATTCTCAGTGGAAAGCTTGCTGAGGTCTTTACAAACTTTTTGTTTTCTCCCATCTATGTGAGCCTATTACCTTTTTGTCTCAAACTGTGCCCTCAGGCTTTTGAACACTTTCAGCCACAGTAATGCAAACCATCACTGCACTTAAAAGTGCTAATGAAAACATGACTTCTGAGCTAGGCCAACTTGTGAGCACAGGTGATTCTTTACTGAGTGGCCTAGTCCAGAATGCTGTCACCCACTGATCCCTTTACCCCCGGGGACAAACTTTCGAAAAAACATCCTGATTATTTCAGAGTCTAAGAATGCACAGTAATTTCTCTTGAAGCCTCTTGACTGGAGATGAATGGCCATTGCTAGTGTGTTGGTGTGCTGAAGCGTGCTTTTTAACAGCAGCACCCTGACCCTGAAAGGCTGTGCGGCGGGCTGACAGCATTTGTATAAGTGAGCTATGTTAAAGAAGTCATGAGGATTGCAGTCAATTAAGTGTATTTTCTGAGTCATTTTCTGATTAACTTGTTTAACAACTGTATGCTATATAAACTGGTGCTTATTAATACTTATGTCTTGGTACACTTAATCCAATTAATTGATGAAAATTAATTTATGATGTTGAGTAAGGTTTTTCCTGCTATCAATATACTGAAAGTAATCTTAGAGGTAGAGAAATAAATTAAAAAGAAATGTAATTGCTCCATTTATATATGAAATTCTTTATTAAAAATGAAATTCTTTATTAAAAATGCAGACTAGACTTTGAGTGTCAGCCCTGGGGTATTTTATTTAAACTATGAACAAAGTCCTCTAAAACTGAAAAGGCAGAGAGAATTCTAATACTTGAATCTTCCCACCACAAAACCTCTGAGGCCACACAGCAAGATTTTGACATGCTATTGTTTTTGGATAAAAAGCTAACAAATTGTGAGATCAAATAAGGACATGTGATGGATGAGTTTTCTTAAAGATATACTAGAGGCTCTCACATTAGCGTATCTCTACTCAATCTCTGTTTTAATTGAATACCATCTTTTGAATTTCCCACTTCACTTATGATCTATTGGTCAAATGTTTACAATATTTGGTTCTAAATGCTTTCTTTGTAATTTCTCAATTGTAATGCACCCTGGCCGTGGCTTCAAATTTATTTAATAATTTAGGGTTACTGTGTGGCAAAAAGAGAGTATTTCTCAATGGAGACTTCACTGACAAGATGAAAAATCTTTTTAAAATGTCACGTCCTGCAAAAAAACAAAAAGTTTAATAGTGCAATACTTATTTTTTGATAGATTTAATCCAGTTAGTTGATATAAATTAATTTATGATGTCAAGAAATGTTTTTGCTATTATCAATATAATGAAAGATAACCTTAGAGGTGGAAACATATATTAAGAATAAATTTGGTTGCACCATTTGTAAAATTATTTACTAAAAATATAATATAGACTTTGTCAGCCATGGGATATTCCATTTAAATTATGAACAAAGTCAGCATCATCTTTGTTGCTGTTACACGTTTTTCACATAAAAAAATGTTATTCTGACATTATTTGGAATATCTTGCTCTTTATTTTTTTTTAACTCCCATTTGATTAGCATAAGATTGTTTTTCTATTTTCAACAAGTAATAAATAACAGAGTACATCTAAGTTTGACATATAAGCAAAGATCTCAAAACAAAGAGATCATGTTAGAGAGAACTAAGTTAACTGTGTATACTATACTGAGTTTACAGAGCTTTTCACTCACCTGGGAGTTCTTTATATTACTTTTTTTCCACCAGGATTTTTCCATACAACATACTTATTTGGAAATATTCAGGTTTTGTTGTTTTTGCTGTAATTGTTGTTCGTTTTAATTTTTAATGGATAATTTCAGCCCAATGGAAAACTATTGACAGTTCAAGAGCTCCCCAATTTTTCAGCTCCTAAACTAAAGTAGAAGTGGTTTTATTGACTTGTCAAGCATTTTCTTTTCAGACTGAGTATTTTATAGTGATTGATGGGAAGGGGGTTTTGAAAGGAGGTTGAGATAATACAGGAATGACTAAAGAATCATTTACAGAATATGAGCAATCTTTTTAAATTTCATAACCCATTTATTCACTGTTTTATTATTTTATTTTTTTTCAACAACAATAAAATATAAGTTCTATGCAAAATGCAGTTTACTAAGCACTGGGAAATACGCAAGCTTCTATCCCTTTTCTTTAAAACCTCATAGAACAGTGAGGGTAACAGAGATATAAAAAGATAATCTCAATATTAATGTAGTAGAGGTTAGAGCTGAGAAATCTACGTGCAATTCAGTGAAGCTAAAAAAAATGTGTCCTAAAGGGGAGGCGACAGGTATTTTAGGCATCTTTGCCACAGCGTATATTTTGCTTCCAAAATAGTGAAATCGTGCAAGTGGAACTCAAGGGGTAAATGGAAGCAATGCATTTAAGTTTGGGGTGGTAAGTTGGAAGATAAGAAATTTTTTTTCTATGTTAAGGTGTTTAAACTCTATGCTGTAGGCAATGAGAAGTTATAAATGTGTTCAGCAGATAAGTAACTTGATAGGTAGTATATATTTAACAATAATTTCAGGAATGCATCTGGGTTGAGAAATATTTGTGCCTGGGAGACATGTTAGGTGGTTTTCTAAAGATAGTAGGAATGAAGATATATGGTTAAGTTCAAGAGAGATTTCTAAGATAGAATCAAAGTATTGCTTTCTAAGAGGTCCTTAATTTACCACCACTCTGTTAATTGTTTGCTGTAGACTGGTGCTGTGCAGTAGAACTTTCTGTGCTGATGGGAATGTTCCACATCTGTACTCCCCAACACAGTAGCTAGCATGTGACTGTTCATGTTGGGATATGACTAGTATGACTGAAGAAATGAATTTTAATGTTGTTTCATTTTAATAGCTTCATGAGGCTAGTGGCTACAACCGGAGTATAGACTATCAAAGCATTCATTTACTTAACGCATTTATTGATAATTGACCCCATGTATGATACTGTGCTAAACAATAGTTATATAGAAGTATTTTTTTGAAAAAAGACATTATACTTGTACTCATTGAGTTTACAACTTAGTAGATGATATATGCATTAAACAAGGAAACTAAGAGATTGCATTTATATAATTAGCAAGTGTGGTACATGCTATAAGAAAAATATGCTAGAATAAAAAAAATCACAGGGTGCAATTAGAAAAAATAAGGGGAAGGTATCTCTGAGAAAGTGGCTTTTGAACCAAATGTTGAAAAGGATTAGGAAATAATATGGCAAAGATGGTGGGAATGGAAAAGGATATTTCATGTGGACTATGCAACTATGCATCTGTAAAAACAAAGAATTTGTTACTCTTTGAGACAGCATGGTGGACCTAGAGAGTATTATGCTAAGTGAAATAAGCCAGTCAGAGGAAGACATCACATTTAATACTTGCCATACAAGTTTTTGTGTGCTTTTTCTTCTCTCCTTTGTCTGTGATGTCTTAGTTTGTATAGTTGTGTTTTGTTTTTTTTTCCTATTAAGGTATTTCAAGATTATTAGGAGATGAAGTAGAAGGCTATATATATATATATATATATATATATATATATATATATACACATATATATACACATTTTTTATTTTATATTTTAGTGGTCAAAACCTTTTTTATATTATTTAATTCAGCAAC